GTGCCCGCGGCTGCGGGGGAGCCCCGGGTGTAGGAGCCAGTGGGCAAACACAGCCCGGGGGGGGGTTGGCTGCTGCTGGAGCCTGGGAGGCACCTGGGGGGTGGGGGGGCAGGCCGGGATGGGGGGAGAGAGTCTGCCCACCAGCACCCTGCACCCCCCAGCGCCCCGCACCCATGGGCATCCTGTATCCCAGAATGTCCCATATCCCAGAGCATCCTGCACCCCCCAGTGTCCTGTATCCCAGAGCATCCCATATCCATGAGCATCCCATAGCTCAGAGCATCCTGCACCCAAGAGCACCCCATGGCCATGAGCACCCCGTATCCAAGACCATCCCTCACCCAAGAGCATCCTGGACCACCAGCACCCTGTGCCCCAGAGCATCCCGTACCCAAGATGGGGGTCCCTTGGGGGTACCAATGGGTGGGATGTGCCATGGGGAGTGGGAGAGGACATGGGGTCATCTCTTGGCCATGCCGATGGGTGGGACGTGCCATGGGGGGCAGGTGAGGCTCTGGGGGTGTCAGGGGGTAGGATGTGCTGTGGGGAGCAGGAGAGGACCTGGGGAGGTCCCTTGGCCATGCCGATGGGTGGGATGTGCCGTGGGGAGCAGATGAGGCCCTGGGGGTCTTGGGGGGGGTGCCAATGGGTGGGATGTGCCATGGGAGGCAGGAGAGGACATGGTGAGGTCTGTTGGCCATGGCAATGGGTAGGACGTGCCATGGGGGGCAGGGGAGGCCCTAGGTGTCCTGGGAGGATCCCAGTGGGTGGGATGTGCCATGGGGGGCAGACGAGGCCCCAGGGGTCCCAGGGGGGTGCCAATGGGTGGGATGCACTGTGGGGAGCAGGAGAGGACATGGCGGGGTCTGTTGGCCATGCCAATGGGGGGGAAGTGCCATGGGGGGCAGGGGAGGCCCCGGGTGTCCTGGGAGGATCCCAGTGGGTGGGATGTGCCATGGGGCAGGAGAGGACCTGGTGGGGTCTGTTGGCCATGCCAATGGGTGGGACACGCCATGGGGGGCAGGGGGGTCCCTGTGGGGGTCGTGGGCTGCGACTCACCACGGTGAAGTTTCGCGGGGAGCAGCCGGCGCCGCGGAAGGAGCACTGGAGCAGCATGTCGGCCAGGTCGTGGCCCGTGCGGTTGTAGAACTCGGCCATGCTGAAGGGCTTGGCCTTGAAGCCGCGGAAGTTGGCCTTGTCGCGCAGCGCGGCCAGGACGCGGGGCTCGGCCAGCTGCGGGTGCGAGATCTCCTGGCGCTCGTTGAGCAGGGCCAGCAGCTCGCCCACGTGGAACAGGTCGTTGCGGGTGATCTTGGAGAAGCGGAACTCGTTGAGGTTGCAGATGGTGATGGCCGGGAAGGTGAGGTTGGGGGCGGCCACCTCGTCCAGCTTGGTGACGTGGGGGTAGGAGAGGAAGTAGGCGACGCGCTCGGCGCACACCAGCCCCAGCAGCCCCAGGGACCCCAGGAAGAAGCCCCCCCAGAGCGCCCGCCGCAGCGAGGCGGCCCCGTAGGCGAAGACGTGGCTGATGCCGTGCAGCGAGGAGCTGTGGGCGAAGGCCCGCAGGCTGGAGGGACCCCCCCCGGCCTCCGCGCCCACCCCCCCCGGCGTCATCCTCTCCTCCTCCTCCT